TGCCCAAAAAGTGCAAAAGTTGCCTACAATATTAAATTTTTAGGCAATAAGTTGAGAAAAAGTTGCTACAAACCATTGGGTTGAATATACTAAGGACAATGTGTTTGCCGGAACAACGAGGTCTGATGAAGAGGAATGTGATCTCCGAAACTAATTGCAACAATACTACTTTGTTTTTAAATATATTTTATCATTTGAAATTGTTGAATTTGTCATTTGAAAATAAAACTCCTTATATTTCGGTTTGCCTATTAAAACATCGTGTTAGTCTGTCAACGATTGATGTGATGTATTCTACACATTTAATTTATCATTGGCTACTGGAGCCAGCTTTCACCGGGCGTCAGGGTATGTCACATAGAAGTACAAAGTTGTTTTAAAAACTCTGGTGTAGTGAATTTTTTATAATAACTGTAACGACTATTGCAGAATTATGAGTAAAAGGGAAACAGAGAGTGGCTTTTGAGGTTTCAGAAGTGAATGGTCATGGTCAAAAAAAAATCTACATTAGTTCAAATTCGTCTTTTTCAATGTTGGTTAGACCAGTAATGCAGCGAAAACAATTTACTTCACCATATTTCTTGATGTCCGAATACTCGGTGTTTTTTCACTTAGTTGAAACCTACTTACAGTTACTTTCTTGAAAGTCCCTTGTTGCTTTAATTTTTTTGTGTCGGTAATGTAGGAATGAGCACTAAAACAGCCATCAGAAGGTGTGATATTTTCTGAACTCAAGAGACTAATATTGTGGAGGCCACCACTGATCCACCAAATGCTTCTGAAGATGTCTCGCCGCAAGAAGGCTGGCTACTCAAACTAAAAATACTTGTCCGTCCTGACCGAGTCTTGCTCACACGAACTATTCCGCTTTAGATTTTTTGCACAAGTACAAGCAATCTTCCATCTTGCTCTGTCGGCTTTAATATAAGGCCTATTTGTCAAATTCGATGCGATGGGGGAATATTTTAAGTCTTCACCTTCTTATCATTAGCCAACGTTATCTACGAGAGAGAGAGAGAGAGAGAAAGAGAGAGAGAGAGAGAGAGAGAGAGAGAGAGAGAGAGNTATAGGGCCTATTTGTCAAATTCGATGCGATGGGGGAATATTTTAAGTCTTCACCTTCTTATCATTAGCCAACGTTATCTACGAGAGAGAGAGAGAGAGAGAGAGAGAGAGAGAGAGAGAGAGAGAGAGAGAGAGAGAGAGGAAAATGTGAGAAAATACTGCTACAATTGTTTTTATTTTTGTTTTTTTGATTTTTTCTAAGTTGAGTAGTTAAATCAATACCCTGTATATCTAATGATTTTTTGAACTGATTTTCAAGAGATTTTCCCCATTTTTCCTAAAATCGAATTGACTTCATGAATTCACATTCATCAATTTGAAAAACAAAAATGTTATTTTATTTATTTTAAGAAATTGAAAAAAATTAATTATTGCAATGTTTAAAAGTAAAGCTTCTGTATAAAAAAAATTTGCTTACATTTTATTTTATAGGGTAGTAGATTTTGAGAAAACCAGAGAGGAAACTAGTAAGTTGACATTCTGTATATATAAATAGGAAAAAGAAAGAATAGGAAACATTGAGAAAAATAGAGACAGAAAGTAATAAAATTAATGCAAATAGTACGAACTCTCTTACAATTAACGAGAGGAGAGAGAGAGAGAGAAAGAGAGAGTGAGAGAGAGAGAGAGTGAGAGAGAGGAATTGTGTGTGTGTGTGTGTGTGTGTGTGTGTGTGTGTGTGTGTGTGTGCTTGATTCGGAAAAATTTGAAAGTCGACGTTTTGCTCCCTAATTAGTGTAATTGTAATTAGTTTGTACTTGAACGATTCATTAAGTACGCACACAAATTGAATAATACACAAAATAGAATGACATCGCTAATGCCGTCTGCCCGAGTTTGGCAGTAAGAAGAGAGAAATATTCACTAAGGATAAAATTAATAGTAAGTATGTATACAATAGTAAGCAATTATCAAAATTAAGTAAACAATACAGAAAACAATTATTTTGCAGAGAGTAGTAATGACATGTAAATACTAACGAAATGTATGATTACTGTAAATAAGAACAATTAAAAAGTAAGTCAAGTTTTTAATTGCTTTTAATTAAATAATTATAGTTTTTATCTAAAGTCTAGGATGAGATGAAAAAGCTGGTGTCACGAACGGGATTGGAACACACGACCTACGGCTCAATACGCCACTGCTTTCACCACTTGAGCTACCACGACTTCGATCCACTGGAAGTACTCCTCTCAACTCACTATATTTTCAAATATCGTGTAATCAGGATTCTCTCTCTGCACAGACCCATTTTTCACATTAAACTACCAAGAGAACCTTTTAGATAGCGAAATCCATGTTTTGAACCAAGAAATCCAATGATTTCTGCTGCTATACTTTAGGGAAGACGGTACTCCGTGTAAATGAATAACTTTAAGACAACCGAAATGCAGTTCCAGATAGAGAAGGGATCAATTGTGCAGTAGAGCGTGAAATTGTGTCAAAATATCTTATATTTGACATTCAACGGAACACTCTTCTGGCCACGAGCTTTATTTAATTCTTTATCGTTTAAAAGCATTAGTTTAGTATGAGTAGGCCAAAAATTAAGACATTTTTTTTCGATTGTCTAAAACGTTATACAGAACAGTTGTTAATAATTGTGTACTGATTCGACTTTTACTTAATTTTTCCATTTTCAATCAACTTTTTTCGTTTTTATTTCGGTTAGACGTACTAGAGACGTACTATAGTTATGCAACTTTATATCACAGGTTTTTCTAATCCTTATGATCATTTCAAAACGTGACAGGATTATCTTTGCAGGTAAACGAAGTGCAATCTGCAAAATAAATCAATAATTTTAAGACAACCGAAATGCAGTTCCAGAGTTTCGCAACAGCAGAGGTTATATAAACCCGGGGTGCCGGTGTTTTTGAAAAAAAAACAAAAACGCATTAGTAGGTATGACAGGTTCGAATGCAGCGCAGCTGGATTCGAACCCGGGACCTTTACCTTACAGTGATGAGCGCCGTTTCGCCTAAACCGTTTCGGCCACCGACGCCCCTAGAGTACCAGTTGTTAATTATCGTAATGATGCGACATTTACTTAATTTTTCCATTTTCAATTGTTTTTTTCATTTTTATTTCAGTTTGAGATGTACTATAGATATGAAACTTCTCCAATCCTTATGTTCATTCATTCAAAAACGTTACAGGATTATCTTTGCATGTAAACTATGTGCAATCTGCAAAATAAATCAATAATTTTAAGACAACCGAAATGCAGTTCCAGAGTTTCGCAACAGCAGAGGTTATTTAAAACCTGGATGCCGGTGTTTTTGAAAAAAAAAAAAAAAAAGCAGGTAAACGGTGTTCAAAAGTTTAATCCTTTGGTTTCTCAGAAAATAAAAGGTGAATGCGTCCCCGCCTCTTAACTCCGACTAACTCTTAAATAGTATGATAGACTATCCACAATTAATCAATTTGCTAAATTTCATTGCCCCATTGTGTAATACCAGACAAAAAAATGTTAATGTTAAAATTTAAGTATAATTTTACTTTCCTTCATATTTGTTTATATATTTCTGTTGTTTAAATGTTTAATGAAATTTTTATCACTCCTCATTTCCTTTATATTGGTTTATATATTTTTGTTGTTTAATTAAATTTTTATCATTCCTTCTCACATCCTTTTATTTTTATACACATGTGTATTGTGACAAAATACTTACGAAACCTGGGCTTTCTTGGTCGAGACATGTCTCGTCAAAGGTGATGACCCATAACACGATCCAGATCAATATAAAGTTTAAATATATTCAACTCTGTGTCTCGAGAGATTCTTTACTATGGGTGTCAGTTGTGGGGCTTTCAGAGATTCGAAATTGTGTAAACGTTCAGCGATTTTTCATAAGAAAACTTTTTCTCTACCAGGTGGCACACCAAGTTACCTCATCTATTTAGAAACTGCCACTGTCCTACTGTTTGTGTTCACTCTCAAGCTGCACTTTTCCTTTATCCTGAAGACGCTAGGACCTCCAGACTCGACACTCTCCAAAATTACCTCACTTAAAATAATTCGATCAGAGATTTCTTGGTTCTCTGGCTGGAAATTATTGTTTCCCTGTCATTAGAAAATATCACTAACTTGAGCACCCATTTTTCGGCTCTCTTGACTCGGATTAATTTCCAACATCGCCGTGATGTGCTGATATTTCAGCTCGAGCCATGAGCTCGACGCATCTTTCATTATATAAAAAGTTATGGGGTCCTCCAGCAATCTGAAGAAGTCCAATTTTAAAGGTTACTCTGGTTGAGCTTCGTTGGCTTTTTAAAATGTGCTACGAGGTTCTTCACCTGAGCTCGGCCGTGTTGAATAGGGGTGAGCAGTGGTCGCTTTGCAATTCGCATGCCGTGGAATCTGTTTTTCATTTCTTGGGAGAGTGTTCAATTCTGGGAGAGATCCTCTTGCTTCATTCTGTCAAGGGTTGAACGTCTGGGTTTTTTTGAAGGTTTCAAGATCTTTGATTGAGTTTGTGAGGCAGCCTTCAGCTCTTACAGATACGTGCTAACAGAAGATTTTAATTTTTGATTTTATTGCTGCATGCATTTAAAATTTTCATTGTTATTTATTTTAACACGGCGACCTATGGCAGACGGATTTTTCCATTGTCTATTTACTGTTGTTTTTCTTCTTTCTATTATATTTTAGTTTTTGTAAATATAATGGTTTTTCATTCATTCATTCGATACTTACATATTTTATTTGTGCTTGTTATGTTGAATATGTCCACATTTTTAATTATTGATATATGTAGACTATTATTTATATTTAAATATTCATTATTACTTATGTATAGTTTAAACTCTTATAAAACTTGTAACTGGGTGTATTTACATTTTATTATAAATAAATAAATCACCAATTATCTACTTGATGACGTAGACAAAATGCATTGAGACGATCATTCTATGATGGCGAAACGTTGAGACGTACCTGAAAGTTTGCAACTTCCTTGAGTTTGTTTTATCGTACTTGGTCTTACTGGTGTAAATATTTAGTGAAAAGACTTGTTGAAAAAAAGTTATTTAAGCAGTGCACACTGCTTCAACTGTTAATTGTTAAAAGCAGAAATACTAAATCAGCTTCATCATGGATTGTAAGTTGCCATTTTATTATATTACTCATTAGGCTGTTGTTCTATTTCTTACATTTGGTGCATAAATTTCTTCCTATTTTTACAGACAAAATGGAAAAGTTCAACGATTTCTACTATATGCCGGCCACGTTCGACATTACGAGCACTGCCGGGGCTGTGCCTGTCAAAAACGAAAAGGGTAAATAATAAAAATTTTATCGGTCAACTATATAAACATCTTGCTTTGGTTGAATAATTATTATCAATGTTGTCTAGTTGTTTGACTACAAAAAATGTAGTAATCCTTCAATAGATTCGCAAACAGTAAGCAGCCCAAAACGATTGTTGGGATAGGGATAAAAGAGATGGCCAAAAAGCTTTCCACACCTCGGCATGAGTAGATCTATTGTGTTCCTATATTTTTATAACTCACTGACCAGCTTCTGGTTGTTAATCAACTGGCCTTGCGAGCCTTAGTGTAGAATGATTATTTGGAGATTGTGAGATGCGGTCTGGTGTGACGTAGGTTTTAGACAAACATTTTCTTTATCATGCCAATGTATTTGTACTCAAACTACTACTTAGTGTAGAGTCTTGCTTGCAGATTTTGCTCTCCTAGTTGTGACAATCTGCACCTACAAAGACCTTCACAGAAACATAAAATGTATACTGTGTGAACGTGTACAACTTTTTTTGCAACAATTGTTTCTCCTGTAGTTAAAAGAGATGATTGTATGAACATCAAAAACTATCGCTCTATTAATAAGTACTGTAAGTAAGTGTAATATGTAACATTATGGACTCCATATTGGCAGACGTATTGAGTCTTTCATTTAAACATGAACAGCATGGTTTCATGACAGGAAACTCCAGTACAACCAACTTAGTTCTTTACAAGGATTTCATTCCGAATCATTTGGAAAATGGTCATTGTGTTCATTCTGTTTACACAGATTTGTCTAAGGCCTTCAATACAGTGGACCGTTTAATCTTAGTGAAAAAATTGAAAAAGGTAGGAGTAGGTAACCCCCTTCAGGGGAGGATCTATTCTTTTCTGTCAGGGAGGTCTTTTATGATTCGGGAAGGATCATCAACCCCTGTTCATATTGATTCCGATGTTCCCCACGGATCTCATTCAGGGCCAGTATTGTTTCTGATGTTTTTCAATGATGTTGGATCAGTCATTAATAAATCCAGATTTTTACTCTTAGCTGGCGACCTGAAAATCTTTCGCCCAACTTCCTTATTCGAGCAATGTAATTTACTGCAAGAGGATCTGGATACTTTTCAGTCTTGGTGTGACAATAATAATCATAAATTAAATGAAAAAGACAAGTAAAGACAAGATTTTCCAAGAAAAAGGCCGTGAATGAGCTTGACTTATTGTTTTTAACAACTTGCTTGTTACTTAGTTTGACTTTTTTTTTTTTTTTTGACATTGTTTACAAATACATTGGTCATCCCATTGACGATGTCAGTTCCATCTCAGACCTTTGAGTTATTTCTAATAAGAACTGCGATTTTCATGGCCACATGAAGCTGATAGGAAAAAAAAAATTTAAAAATTTGGGCTTCAGTAGAAGACAGACTGTAGATTTTAAAAAGTACTTGCCATAAAAATCCTCTACCAATACTTGTTCGTTGTCATTTTGAGTATACTAGTATTGTTTGGTCGCCTGGATCAAACAGTGGATCGCTCATGATTGAGAAGGTACAAAGTAGGGTATGTGAATTCTGGAAGACAAAAGAATGTCGGCTTTGGCCTTGTTCTTATGGAAGATACTTAACAACAGGATTGACACCCTATAGGGATCTTATCTTCCATTGGTATTAAGGTCCCCCAGCACCGACTCCACTCCCGTGAGCTATATATTCAGCCCTATATTCACGATTTGTTTTCTTAATAATTTTTTCTCCTTTGTATAATAATATCAATAACATTCCAGTAACATTTTTTAGAGCACCGAGGCATTTGCACAACAAAACCCATAATTTTTTATATCATATTGTATTCATTATTAATTGTACCGGAGATAAGAATTTGTTTGAGACTTCTGCTGGAGTGCGATTTGTATTCTATAGAATTGCAGTATTCAGCCCTTGATTTTGAAAAATTTAGAGACGATGTTAGTTTTATAATGCCTCAAGAAACATCTAATTACTATATGAGATGGACTCAGCTTTGCTGCATAGTAATTCCTGTTATCCAAGAGGGATTAACGTAAAAATACCTGTTGGGCACATCTGTATATTTCCCCAAATTGCAAGCGTTCCTAATTCATATGCAATCAGTTAGTACTATTAACTTTTTAAACTCAAATTTATAACATGCAGTCTATATAAATAGTACAAATATATGGGCTTTTACAAGTAGTATCATGGTAGTAGATGGTCTTTTGAAACATTGAAATAATTTAGTATTAAAACTGCAATTTCTCCTATCAGGCGAACTTTCCATGCAGAAAGTTAAAGTGCATCGTTACGTCTCTGGAAAACGTCCCGAATATGCACAAAGATCGAGCAGCGAAGACGAGTCTGAGGATGAAGATTTCATAACGTCGCGGAAACACAAGAGGGCCCATACGCCGGAAGAGAAAGCGCAAGAGAGCGATGACTCGATTCCCGACGATCCGCGTCTGAGACGTCTTAAATCGCGCCATGTTGAAGAGGTCCACCATAAGACAAGTGACGATGAAATTGAAAGAAGGCGTCCAAGGTATGATAATTCATGAACTGTAGATTGCACAGCTTCAATTTTATGATTTGATTTTTACAACAGGAGAATTCAAGAACCCGAAGTCCTTGAAGATGAAGAAGAAGTCGAAAGCGAAATTGAAGTTAAGCGTGTACGTGGGGTTGAAAGTAGCGAAGAAGAAGAGGAGGAAGATCTGAGTGACACTGAAATCGAAAGGAGAAGATTACTCCTTAAACAACGAGTTCTCAGTACCAAAGAGCAAATGGTAATTGACTTAAAAATAAACAAATAAATAATGTAACGATGAACTAATGTAAAGAAATAAATAATAAAAAAATAAAAAAATTTTAATGTCAGTCCTATTTGAACAGGAAGTGGAGCTACTTGATAAAGAAGAAGAAGGGCAGAGTGAACAAGAAAGTGAAGAAGAGTCGTCAGAATATGAAGAATATTCGGGTTAGTAAAAGTATATTACAATATTATTATTTTAACATAAATTTCATTTAAAGTTTTAAAATTAAGGTGTTCATTTTAATTATTTTTTATTTTTTGTTTATGTATTTTATTTTTTTGCTGACTGTTGGTTCAAAAGCTTTTCAGACAAAATAACAGGTGGAACAGTTCAAAATTTTATTTATTATTTTCATTAATTATTTTGTTTAATTATGCTTAAATATTATTCCTAATTATTCAGATTCAGAAGAAGAAACTGGTGTAAGGTTAAAACCTGTATTTGTCAGGAAGAAAGAAAGAGTGACAATTTTGGAAAAAGAAAGGGAGGCGCTGAAGAAAAAAGAATTTGAAATGGAAACGAAAAAGATGGCTGAAGAAAGAAGAAAGCAGACTCTAAAGGTTCGATCAAATTAAGCAATAATTATATTAATTAAATTCACTAGTTCGTGGTCCACTTGACCAATTAATATCTTACAATTAATTAAGTTTTCAGTTGAGATAAAAAAGTCAATGGCACGAGCGGGATATGAACCCACGATCTTCGGCTTGATACGCTGCTGCTCTACCACTTGAGCTATCCTGACCTCTATCCACTTGGACACTAACTTCCCATGTCAACCACACCTTTTGAATCTTCCCTCATTTTTGCCATATCCCGCTCGTGCCATTGACTTTTTTATCTCAACTGAAAGCCTTAACTAATTGTAATTATATTAATGTTTTAATAAACGTAAAGAAGTACCTTTTGTATTCTGTTTATAGATGGTCGAAGAAGAGATAAGAAAAGAGACAAACAAGACAAGAATCGGTGGTGAAGAAGTGAGTCTCGGCGATGTCAACACTGATGATGAAAATGATGAGGTAGAATACGAGGCCTGGAAACAAAGGGAATTGAAGAGGATAAAGCGTGACAGAGATTTACGTGAACAGTGAGTATACTATGTTTATAACCAATAAAACAATTAATCTTAATTGTTTATTAATTAAAAGTCATTAACTTACTTTACTATTTTGTTAGATTGGAAAGGGAGAAGATGGAAATAGAAAGGATAAGAAATTTGACGGAAGAAGAGAGGAGGAACGAGTTCAGAAACAACCCGAAACATATCACCAACAAAGGTGTCAAAGGGAAATACAAATTTATGCAAAAATATTATCACCGTGGTGCATTTTTCATGGTTCGTTGGATTAATATATTACTATTAATGTTCAAAAAATTATAATACACTGTATAAATTTCAAAATAATAATTTATTTATAGGATAAAGATGAAGAAATTTTCACAAGAGACTTTTCAGAAGCTACTCTTGAGGACCACTTTGACAAAACAATACTTCCAAGAGTTATGCAGGTATTTTACAATAAACCTTTTTTAAAAATCCAAAAATATTTAAATTTTCAAACAATAATTTTAAATACAACTTTTGAATTTCAGGTTAAAAATTTCGGCCGTAGTGGTAGAACGAAATACACACATCTTGTGGATCAGGATACGACTCAGTTCGACTCGCCTTGGATATCAGAGACTGCACACAATCTTAAATTCCATAACAACCAAGCTGCAGGCTGTAAACAGGTTTTTGATCGACCGTCCAACAAAAGGAAATAAATAGTTTTTATTTATTTGGTTAAATTCTGTAATTATAATTATTACAAAGGGATAAATTATATTGTAAATTTCTTACAAAAATAAATGATGTATTTTAACAAATTATATTACATAATTATATGTTTACGTCTCATAAGTTTTTCTTTTATTCTACCCTTGCAGTATGATGTTCAATTTAGTTTTTTCATTTTCAATCTTAAGCAACAAATCTTAATTGAACAGGTAAGAATAAAATTTGTATTTTAAACACTACAATTACATCATTTAAATGAGTTTTGTATAATAATCATTTTAAATTATACATCTGAAAAATAAGTGCTGAAAACAATATGATTATTAATAAATTTTTGACGAGATTTTTATTTATTTGGTGTCCTTATCCCATTTCTCTTCTGTGATAACACTGCTTTTCTTAACTTTTGACTTTTTTGTTTTTATTAACTCTGTAGTCACAATAATGATTCAATATTTTTTATTTGCTTTTGGTTTTATGATGATCACACACTATCACCAATAATGGTACCTCCAAGCTGCCACACATTGCTGCCTTGCACTACATTGTTTACATTTATCAATTATGGAAAACTTAAAATTTTTTGTAGACTTTTGCAGTTTTTAATTTAGCCCATTCAATAAAATGGAAATAATCCCAGCCCCTAAGTCAAACTAGGCCTGCCCTTTATACCAAGAACGCTTCACCGGATAATAATAGCTCATTAATTAAGTCTAGACTTTGAGATTCGTTGCTTTCAAATAAATTAAAAAGAAAAAGATGTTTATATTTTGTTATCCTAATATTGTTGTGGCAGTATTGATTTATTTAAGTTTTCCTAATTACAAATGTATACAATAAAAGTATTAAGGTTATAACTACATAAATTTAGAAATATTTATAATAAAAAAAAATTTACAATGAATTGAAACAATTTGAAATATGTATTAACACTATGTAATTATTAATTAAATACAAATTCAATATTAATTATATTAAATTCACTAATTAATGTATTACAATTAATTAAGGTTTTTAGTTGAGATAAAAAAGTCAATGGCACGAGCGGGATTCTAACCCACGACCTTCGGCTTGATACGCTGCTACTCTAACCACCTGAGCTATCGTGACTTCGATCCACTCGGACACTAACTTCCGATCTCAACCCCACCTTTTGAATTTTTCCTCGTTTTTGCCATTTTCCTCCTTTTTTATCTCATCTCAAAACCTTAATTAATTGTAATATATTAATTGGCAAACGGACCACGAAATTAGTGAATTTAATTAATTAAAATGAAGTATACTTCACTAAAGCGCTTCGTGGCCATTTCATTTGTCGCCGAGTATCCAATCCGATTACATGACATTTGAAAAATGGCAAAAAAGAGGGAAAATTCAAAAAGGTGGGGTTGAGATGGGAAGTTAGTGTCCGAGTGGATCGAAGTCACGATAGCTCAGGTGGTTAGAGTAGCGGCGTATCAAGCCGAAGGTCGTGGGTTAGAATCCCGCTCGTGCCATTGACTTTTTTATCTCAACTAAAAACCTTAATTAATTGTAATTAATTATATTAATGATACAATATTTAATTTTCTAATAATAAAATTTGTTTAAACTGCATTACACACATATTTATTTTCAAACGATTATATTATAATATACAATCTTGAAATATAAGTAAGCTTGTTAATGTAGATTTTTAAAAATGAAAAACATGTTGATTTGGAATAATAACGTTTTTAAATTGTTAGGTTTAAGGAATTTAATATGATACTTTAAAAAACTTTGCATACAGCAGGTTGTAAGTAAATTGGTCTATAATTACAAATATTACTTTTATTACCACTTTTAAAAACTGGAACTATACAACTACTTTTACGAACTCAAGGAAAAATACCTGTAAATAGGTATATATTAAAAATTGAAACTACTCTTGACTGGTACTCTTGACATTATTTAATGCATTGACCACTGATACATCTTTTCTAGTCAAAAAGGTACGGCTATAACAGATCTGTGCTTTTGTACATTTACAAAAGCAATTGTGGTGTTAAAGGACATTTTCTTAGAATAATCCTCTTTTAAACTTAAGTTTCTATGGGTTATTCATTGCCGTTTGCAATGTTAGAAGTATTGACCACTTTTTCACTCACAAACATTCTGGATCAAGGTATGGTCTTGAAACAAAAAAGGCAAGTACAGTTGTTACTGTCAAGCTTTCAACCCATTTTATGGTCATCATCAGGGCAAAACAATCTTAATTATCTCTGAAGATTGACATATTTAAGTTTTTTACAGGTGATCTCAAATTTCCTTGAAGACCGACTCAGTCCTCACTTTGCCAAGGACTGAGTTGGTCTTCAATGAAATTTGAAATCATCTATTAAAAAAACCAATTAATTCTATAGACATATTGTAGACTGTTTCACCCTGATGAAGACCTTAAAATAAATCAAAAGTTTGGCATATATCAAGTGTATTTGTTTTTTTCATCCAGATTATCAGCAAGAAATACTAAAATATATAAATTTCTAAACATTTTTTACATATTAATATTACAATAGTTTGTTACCTTTGGTAGTAATTTGCTGACTGACGCTCAGTGGAGAAGGGGAGGGATTCTCGGGGAACCAATACTATAGTCGGGCGCCACACTATTTAATTCANTGGAACGGTGAATGCCGTTTTTTCCTTACTACCCTCCTCCATAGGGACTTGCCAGTAGGCGCTTTTAATATCCATGGAAGAGAGGAACCTTGCATCTCTAAGGCGGTCCAGAATATGGGTAACATATGGCAGAGGGTAAGCGTCCCTCTTGGTGACCGAATTAACCTTTCTGTAATCGACACAGAATCTATGGGTGCCGTCGGGTTTTTTGACGAGAACTACTGGCGAAGACCATGCACTTTTCGATGGCTCAATAATCCCCTCCTTCAACATCTCGTCAAGCTCGCTGTCTAGGATCTTCTGAATGGGCGGAGAAACGGGATAGTATCTTTGTTTAATAGGTCGATGTTCACCAGTGTCGATTACGTGAGTGACCTTCGAAGTACACCCGATCCTGGGGGAGCCTTTTAAATTCCACTGCTTCAGCACAGTCTTCAATCTGTACCGTTGGTCATCGGTCAAATCAGTCTCGTCTTTTAAGCATGTCTCCATCTTATCGATCGCATTTATGTTGTCTCCCATGTCCCTCTCATCATCCCCCTCGGAGAATGCTGGGGTAATCTTCATTTTGTTCCAAAAATCCATTCCCAAGATGATTGGGGTTGTCAGTCCTGGCACGATACAAAAGTTGATTAATTTCACTCGCGCTCCTAGTTTCACGGGCACCAGCGTACAACCCGATACATTCAAGGCTTCGCCATGGGCCACTGTCAAACATAATCCGGGTTCCGTATACATCTTCAGCCCTAACGTAGAAATTTGGTCCCAGAAAACTTTGCTCATCACGGACCGCGATGCTCCCGAATCCAAAAGACCAGAAACGATTAGTCCTAATATGTCTATTTTAACAAAGGGTCGAGGGTCGCGGCCCTTAGCATAAAGGTGGGGGAGGGAGCATAACCGTCGGCCACTCGCAGCTTCTCTTACCACCGCTAACCACTCCTCCCATTCTATCTTAGTTGTGAACTGACGTCTGGGAGCCAAGCCTCGTCCCCTTAGGCTTGACTCGCCTGACCGTTTCCCGGGACTGAACGGCAGGTTGGGCATTGTGACTTAAACATCTCTTTACGGCCGCAGCCGGTGCAAAACTGTCTCTTGGGGTCTGGGCAACGCCTGAACGCATGACCGTTGCCATCGCAGTTCCAACATCGGAACTCCGGCTTCGGCGGGTTATTGAGGGGGCAGACAGGTTCCTCAATAGCTTGGATGTTGACTTCTTGCCTTCGACGGGGGGGCGTGTATGCCAGGTCGGGTTCCAACGAATCTCTCGGCAAGGGGGGTGGCCGTTGGGCCGAGATCCTTCTCCTAGTTTCTTCTAGTTTCCTGCCTACGGCCACTAACTCATTCAAGCTTTCAATGTTCTGGAGGCTCAATCGTTCCAGGTAATAGGGCTGAAGATTCCCTCGCACAACCTGTAACATTTCCGACTGAGAGGGAAGCTGAGGGAGGCGATGGAAATAATTTTTCATTACCGCCACATAAAAACCAATAGATTCCGTTGGCCCTTGGGTCCTCCGACGGATTTCATCCCACAATCGGAAATGGTAGTCCGCTGGTTCGTACTCCGCTCGTAACTCGGCGACTAGTTCTTTCCAAGTACCGACTTCTCTCCTTACAGCTCTGTACCAAACCAATGCTTTTCCCCGGAATAGATCGAAGGCCGAATCGAAGAGGTCTCTTTCACTCACGTTCCTCGAGAGCATTAGTTCTTCGACTGTTTCAAGAAATGCATGGAGACTGAGTTCATCGTTCTCTCCAGAAAAATGAATTTTCCAATCTTTGGGAGGAATTTGTGTCTTCCGAAGTACTACAGAGGGCTCGACCGGAGTCTCGAACAAGACCCTGGCCGATCGAGGTTCCTCCGGGGTCCATTGAGTTGTGAATTCCTCTTTTCCTGATTCTCCTTCAGCACCCTCATCCTCTGGTCTCTGGGAGGTAGCTGAATGTTTATCCGGTTTGAACTGTCCTGTAAGTAGATCTTCTTCCTCGACAACCTTCTGGGGTGGTCCAACCGCAGAGGAAACATCCTCCATCCACTCCAAACACTCATCCAACAGCCTTGACTTCGTTCGTTTCTCCTCATCGGATCCGGAAGAAAGCCGTGACAAACGATTGGTCACGTGCTGTAACTTGGCATCTATTTTCCTGAAGTCCGCTGTATTACCCTTTAAGAACTCCTCGATTTTTGGTCTAAGGGTCTCAATTTTTCCCGAACATATGTTCAGTTCTTCTCCCGTATTCGAGGGAAGGTGTATGGGTGAGGCCAGTCTGCCTTCAGCTTCCAACTTAAGAAGCCTCCGTACCCTTTTACGCAACTCATCTACATCTGAATGCTCCGAAAAGGCCCCCCGGATAGACAGTTCGTATTCCAACTCGTCTCGGTTCAATCTATTTACGTCCATTTTCATGTTGTGTAGAGATAATTCNCAAACCGTAAGTCCCAAAATCGGGGAGGTGAACAGTCAGGGCGTAACAAGTTATAGTAATTAAATTCACTAATTTCGTGGTCCACTTGACCAATTTTTATCTCAACTAAAAACCTTAATTAATTGTGAGTTATAGTAATATTTTTGTTAAATTTCTTCAAGTAGTATTATGATTTCATTATTTTATCTTTTCCTGGTGTGTTCTTATACAACAACTATTGAGTTATCAATTTTCATTAATCATTGGATGATAAAGGCCTTAGTGTCTATTCCTGAGATTGCGTTAGTCTATTAAGATTTGTCGGGTGCCCTTTAGTAACTTCTTGATTTCTAAAACATACCGTTGTTAAAAATAAATAAATGATTATTTGTTTTTGAAAGGAGGTAGATTTGGAATTAACCGCGAGGATTATTATCAGCATTTATTTTTAGATTAGATATACCAATCATAATAAGATTTATCACAAAGTGATTAGTTTTGTTCTCTCTGTTGACTTAGTCAAACCGTATTCTTACTATAATTTAATAAAATCAATACATTTTAAGGAAGTGAACGGAAAACAAACCAGAAAATGAATATGATACTAGCACAAAGTGTAATTGTTCTTCTGAATTTATGTTTTTCAATGGCATTTCTATCAGCTGCAACTCCACCAACTTCAACTCCACCACCTACAACTCCACCACCTACAACTCCACCACCTACAACTGCATCACCTACAACTCCACCAACTATAACTCCACTACCATCAGGTTGGAATACAATTGATTCAAGACCATTGCCTGCTTGGTTTGATGACGCAAAAATTGGTGTTTTCATCCACTGGGGTGTATATTCGGTCCCCAGTTACCAATCCGAATGGTTTTGGATGGATTGGAAAGGTTTGGGAAATCAGTTGATTTAAATAAAAACAAGCGTAATAGACTTGATAATTTTTAGGCAATCCAAGTCCTAATAAGGAAGCGCAGAAAAAAATAGAAAAGTTTATCGAAAACAATTTTCGCCCTGGATTCACATATCAGGAGTTTGCAGAACAGTTCACAGCTGAATTTTTCAATGCGACACAATGGGCTGATTTAATTGAAAAATCAGGAGCCAAGTAAGTGACATAATTTTGTTTTTTTAATATTAATCCATATTTCAATTAACTATTCTATTTATGTAAGTTCTTGGCTTAGATGAAAAAGTTAGTGTCAAGAGCGGGATTCGAACCCACGACCTTCAGCTCAATACGCTGCTGCTCTAACCACTTGAGCTATCGTGACTTCAAGTGGTTAGACCAGCGGCGTATTGAGCTGAAGGCCATGGGTCGAATCCTAATTAACTGAAATAAGTAATTTGGTCAATTAGACCACTAAACATAAATGGATTAATAATTCATTCATATATTTATTTAGTAGTCATAACTGACCTATTAATTATTTTAATTAATTATACTTTTTATCTACGGTCTCACTTAAGAGGTCTTGGTTTATTTTCTTAAACTGACAATATTTTTATTTAATAAAAACTTTTAATTTTTAAGAGCATATTGAGAAGGAACTGAACACTAAAAATCACAATCATTTATATTATTTTAATATTTCTCATTATTAAACAAATATATATTTTTCCAATTTAACTAATGCATATAGAGAAATATAAATAAAAAACAAATGTGTCATATTGTTATAGAACGGTTTGGTTTTGTTTCTCAATTGGCCTCAACTCAGTTGATTTTTATTGGCCTCAATTTTAATCAGTGCACTTTTAATAATTAATGTCCTTCATTCCACAAATTGGCCGTATTATACAGGCCTTTAGATATAAGTAAAAGTGTCCTTTCCTGTTAGAAATAGGAGCCAAGACAGAAAAAAATTGTAATCATCTCTGATCATCATGGCCTGACTATTTTTGCAGTTTTGTTTTTTAAACCGTATTCTTTATGAATGAAATGACACAATAGACTTAATAACATCAAGAAAAACCCATTAGGAATATGCAATGTTGTACCAGACAGGCAAAGCCTGCAAACGATGTAAAACCAGAGGTGATCAGAGATAAGCAAGCTGCAAGTTTATCTCTATAAGTTCTTGAAGGACTTACCAAAATTTAAGAAAAAACAATTGTTTCTCCTTGCTGTCTACAGGTAATGAATATGAAATTCGGTTTTACCAAATATTTAAATCTGCCTATGCTAGCTGATCTGTCTGACACGTTTCAGCATTTTGTCATCTTTGGTAGAAACACTGAAGGTGGCAAAATGCCGAAACATGTCTGAAAGACCAACCCGGCAAAGATTGGTAACAATTAAATTGAACAAACATAACAAGCATATTTCATTTTTATAGTCTAGGCAGTATACATTATTTTAATTCATATTAATATAATTTTTGTAGGTATGTATTGCTTACAAGTAAACACCATGATGGATATGCTCTTTGGCCATCGAAATATTCTTACAGTTGGAACTCTGTTGATGTTGGGCCACACAGAGATATTGTTGGTAGGGTTGTTGTTTCTTAAATGGATTCAATAATTTACACCTGTTGGAGCTACATATGTGCAATAATTTAATTTATTAGGGGAATTGGCAGAAGCGATCAAAGTAAAAACAGATATACGTTTTGGATTGTACCATTCATTGTATGAATGGTTCAATCCTCTTTGGATGTCTGACAAAGCTAACCACTTCAGAACAGACGATTTTGTTGTTAATAAAGTTTACCCTGAGATGAAAGAATTGGTAAGTCAATTTTATTTTTTATTTTATTTGGTTGAGAATTTTACTAGCTGTAATAACCAAAAGGTACTGTAATTATTAAAAAAGTTTGAAAAAAGTTTCATTTTTTAATATATAACTGTGTTGAGAGATGTTTTATTGCTCAATGTTTTTAGGCGAGTGTCTTTTATTTTATCTTTTAAGATGAAGGTGCAATTGAAAATTTAAGTTAAACATTGCAAAGTTGATCTTTTGGTTTTTATAATTGTACCATGATAAAATAAAAGTTTCCACAAGTTTAATAATTTATCAGGTCAATAAATACCAACCAGAAATATTCTGGTCTGATGGTGAATGGGAAGCTAGTGCTGATTACTGGAAGTCGATTGAGTTTTTGACCTGGCTATACAACGAGAGTCCCGTTAAAGACACTGTAGTTGTAAATGATAGATGGGGCCATGATACGCTTTGCAAACATGGTGGTTACTATACTTGCAAGGACAGGTACAACCCAGGTGAATACTTTCTATAAATTAAAAATCCTTTGAAATAATTACAAAATTTTTTTGTAAGGGACATTGCAAAACCACAAATGGGAAAATGCCATGACGATCGATTCTAGCACCTGGGGCTACAACAGAGTGTCTAACATAGATGACTATTTAACACCACAAGACCTGATTGACACTTTAGTATCTACAGTCGCATGTGGAGGTAATATCAACAATCTATCTTAAGTGTGGTATAACCCTTTGTGGGCCTGGCCTCTGCAATAAGTCTATGCTAAAGCTCCAGCAGCTGCCTTCCAGTTGCAAGCTCCTAGAATAATATTCCATCATTGCATACATCATCAAGCTACCTAAGCTTAGGCATTGTCCATTTTCTTTTCTGGCACTTCCCGCTCCTCCATCCCCATATGACCGGCCAAGCCTTAATGTTGATAACTTTATTACATTTAACTTGGACTTATAAAAAACAAAACCCAAAGGGGTTGAAATTAAAATGAGTTACTATGAAAATTAACATAGAAAATAATCTATTATATTTAGCGGTCTGATTGACTAAATTACTTCTTTCAATTTATTAATCTTTTTATGTAAGGTGTTGGTTGAAATGAATATAGAAAATAATAATTACTGAGTAACTTTAAACTGGTTAAATAGATTCTGTTTGGATGGAGAGGAGGTGCTTACGTGTAGGAGATGTTTAAAAGAGCAGTATTGTGGATAGTTAGAGGGAGGAAGTTCCAGAATTTTGGTGCTCGGGCAAAGTAAGACCATTTAACGGTGCATATTTTATGCCGGGGTAGGATTAGGTGACAGGGAGAAGACCGGGTATTACAGGAGTGGAAAGAAGATTGAATCGCATGGACATAATGTAATGCGGGCTATGGGTGTTAATGGCCCGGTAAAGGAAAGGAATGAAGGAAATACAGACTTCGGGAAGAGGGGTAGAATCAGGATGCTGACCCTCGGGGGATGTTGAATATAAACCTGGCACAATTCATTAATCTTTTTAGGCTCTTATTTTGCTGCCCCAAAAGCCAACCGTAAGCAACACAGTTGTATTGAAGAAGGGGAAAATGAGGGAGAAGACCAGGAGTTTACACATGGAAAATGGTAGGAGGAACCAGGACAGGTAACATTGGATGAGGGCAGCAATATAACGATGGAAAATCTGAGAAATGTGATGGTGCCAGGAGAAGTTTTGTTCAAACCCAGCTTAATCTTTACTGCATTTACAACATTCGCTTCTTTGCACAGATTATAAACCTCCTTATTTGATCTTTTTCACCATTCAGCCCTTTCTTTTTACTTTCTTTCATTTCTTGGAAGAATTTTTTTTTTTTTTTTTTTTTTTAAGAGGATACCAGGGATTGGAGGAGTTCCCTCCTGAGCACTACAGCTTATTGTACTTTATCCCTGGCTCCATTTTTTTTTTTTGGGGGGGGGGGGCTTGCAACACAAATGTGAACTTGAGCCCCCGTAGTGCTGGTGTTCTTACATCGAAGAAACTCATTTTTGAAGGGGGTTGGGACCAAATTCGGGGTCGCTGAGATCTGATCCCGCCCCTTCCATAGATGAGTGCTGTGTCAATTTCTTTCAATTGTGGCCACCGGTACCCTTAAGTGTCAGAAAAAGTCCAGAGGCGACGGTGAGGATCGAACCCACGACCACGGGATCTACTAGCCGAGAGTCTGACGCCTTAACCACTCGGCTACCGCAGCCCCCCTGTCTTGGGGATGGTCTACATTTAAGAAGCATATGTCAGTACTGAGCAGATGAGGGTTTTATAAAGCCTGATTTTAGTGCTTTTCATATATTTTGAAAGGCTAAAATGGCTCGTATTAACAGCTATGATTCTCCAAATCTTTTCAGAAATGTTATTACACGATTGATATCAAGCCACTTATTTATATTCATAAATGATTTTGGCTGATTTTTGTGTGGATTTTGCATTTTCTTTGTACAACAATTACACATAGTTTTGATATTTTTCTTAAAACGATTTTAATTTGATTATAGGAAACATGGTAATGAACGTTGGACCTGCCAAAGATGGAACAATAAATCCAATTTTTCAAGAAAGGCTCCTCCAGGTTGGAAGTTGGTTAAGAATAAATGGTGAAGCCATTTATGGGTCGAAGCCCTGGAACAAATGCCAAAATGATACAGTTGTACCTTATGTTTGGTAATTTATTCAAAATGACATCTCTTACATAAATTGTCTTGGATGTAAGATTAATTCGATTTTCTTGAAGGTATACGTCTGCTTCTGATGATGGTGCATTGTATGCTATAATGCTGAGATGGCCAAAAACGAATATGCTTTACTTAGGGTGTGTCAATAGCACTCAAAAAGTCCAAGTCACCATGTTGGGATTTAAACAACAACTACCAGTAAATTGATATTACTATTTTTATCCAATAATTTTGTATTTAATATAAATTTATATTTCAGACATCTGCCGGCAGACTAATGAAAATAAGTCTACCTGACAAATCACTAATATCCTGGGAATGGGGTTGGGTACTGAAAATCGAAATTCAAGGATATAAAGTGTACAATCTTTAACTCATAATAATACGAATATATCGACTATAAACTAATTCAGTAGTTATCAACAATGTTTATTGAATTTAAATAAAAACAAATAATAAAACAATATATTTGTAAAAACAATTGTTTGCCTCTCCTTAACTGTTAATATGTATAATGTGTGTATGTTGCTCCTTCTTCCTCCACTTCTGAATTTGCTTTTATCACTTTCTCATTTTCATTAGTTGGTTCTCTGACATCTTTTCAATAAAAATCATTTAAGAATATATTGTATGTCCAAAGTCCAAAATATAATAAGAAATAATTAATAAAATATAATTTAAACAAATGGTAGTTAAATATTGTCCAAAGAAATTGTTGTGCTGTGTTTGTGATAGTGCGTCTTTCTGTTTGCAGTATAGTGTTGAAATGTGAATTATAAAATAAAATTATACAAAAATGACATTAGTATGCCTTGCCAATTTGGCTTCAGGCCCATGCATTCTGCATGCAAAATTCTGGATATAATTCGCCATAATTTTAATGTGAAAAAGCATGTGGGAATGGTATTTATTGAAATGAGAAAGTGTTTGGCACTTAAATTCATTGTCCATTTCCTAAGTACTTTACACATTTAATTAATATTTATCTAGCCAACAGGAAAGTCCATGTACAGATTAATGACATAAAGTCACCTTTATACACTTTTATGAAGTATAAGAGCTGGGGTCTCCCAAGGAATCGTATAATATATAATATAATTATTCAGAAATCGTGAGATGCGGTCTGGTGTGATGTAGGTTTCAGAAAAACATTTTCTTTATCGTGCCAACATTTCAATCTTTATTGAGATCATCTTCAGGGCAAAGATGAACCTGGGCACGATAAAGAAAATGTTTTTCTGAAACCTACATCACACCAGACCGCATCTCACGATTTCTGAATAATCTTCGACTAATGGTCACTAATCACCACACATGTAATATGTTTTGTTTTTCTTTGTATGAGGGTATTTCAACTATGAGGTTATATGAACCGTCAGGGAAAAAAGCTCATTTGTAAGTAGTCGTGTTCAAATGCAGAACCAGTGGATTCGAACCCAGGACCTTCACCTTACAGTGATGAGCGCCAGGTCAATGCCTAAATCGTTGAGGCTATTGATGTCCTAACTTAATGTTTTTATAAATGACCTTTGCTAATGATACGGCTTTTATAAGAGTCCCATATAGGGTTGATTCTATCTGTAGAGAATTATCAGTAACTATAGATAGATGTTTTAAGTATTTTGAAAAAGGAGAGTCACATCTAATGGTAGCAAGACTGAGGCAATACCACACATGGTCAATCATAATAAATAACTCGCCTATACCACAGTCTAAGACTGTTAAATACCTTGGATCTGGATTCCAGATTTAACTTTAGATAACAATTTTTAAAAAAATTCTCAAAAGCAAGGATTTTAGGAGCCTAAATATGGATGGTCAAAATAAAGACTTATTTATGAACTATACCTACATCCATTAACAACTTACGGTACTCCCATTTGGGGAAATATGTCTAAATCAAATTATGCTAAGCTCCAGGTTGTACAAATTACTACTTTAAGAATTATTGGTCGGTTTCCACGTTGGAATCCGATAGACTACAAGCATGTAACCGTAAACATACCTAGTTTACAGAGCACTTCTCAATTTTTATAATCATGCCATTAATAGAAAATTTGTACATAAACAAAATTTTTTAATTTATAATAGGGATGACTTGAACTACTCTATTTTACTTTACTCTACTAAATATTTATATATACATACGGATCAAACATCCTTTTATAAAGAATATAAATACAAAGTTATAAACTATTTAAGTAGCAGATAAAAAAATTGATAAAATAACAAAAACAAAACCACAACAAACATTAATAATAATAATAATAAACAATTATCTATATTTATATATTTTATATAATACAACTATATTTATTTCAAAATACTCATTATGGCCTTTAATATATGTTTAAATGTATTAAAATTTAGATGAAAAAAATCATATTTTGGGCATATCTTATTTCCTTCTCTCATTATTCTATTTATTGGTGAACAAAATATGTAATATGTTTTAGAAAAGAGTACACTAAACCTAGATGAATGCCTGGTAGCATGTATTGGGGCATTGTAATTGATGAAATGAGGTCAGCACAATTTAGTTGCCCAGTGATTATATGGTAAAGAAATAATAGATCAAAAAATGCTTTTTGTCAGTTAGCACGCTATAAAGAGACAAAGGCAGTTCTGAGGATGAACAGAGAGGAAACCAAAAATGAAGGATTCTAATAAATTTATTTTGAACTTTATCTAAAAATTCAGAATAAGAAAAAAAGTGCGGATTCAGTAAAACAGTAAAAAATTCAAGGATAGGGCAAATGAGAGTTTTGTACAATGTCAATGATGAACTGGGATTACAAAAATTACGAGTGTTTCTCATAACCACACTCAGAATTTTAGGAGCTTTTTTTATTAACACTGATAATATACTCCTTAAATTACAATTTGCAGAGTCAAGATACCCAGATTTGACACAGGATACTCTGTTTAGTGAGGTATTATTGAGAAAAAAATTATATATTTCAATTTTGACCATTTATACAATACGAGAAAAAAAAATTTACAACCAAATAAAGAAAGTTAGATTTTATTTCCCCTCTTGCTAAGGATTGTTAAGTTCTGTTAAGTTTCTTATAACATTCACTTAAATGTTATAAGTGTGTCATTACTCATATGTAACTATTCATTGGGCTTGGTAGTATTAATTAGTATTTTTCATTTTATTTTTTTTTTCACTTTTATTACCCATAGTTAATTAACTCCTGATTATTAGACGGATTATTATCCATGTTGTATTTTACTTTTGTACTACGTATCTGATTTTTGTATAAAATGAAAATGAATTAAATTATATTATTAAAAATATATTACAATACTATTACAGGTATAAAAGACTATTGTTTGAAAAATTATTAAAAAAATGAAAATAATTTTTTTTTTATTTTTTTTTTTATTACAATCTGCAATTATTATTTACAACATGTAATTTGCGGATACATGAACAACTATATATATGTACAACTATTTACATTGAGGGGAGAAAATAGTCAGTGCTATCCTCCCTCTTCACTTTGTTTTTTTTTTTCAGTTCACTCGGAAAGGAGGTCGCGGGGCCATTTCCTCTTAAGACGCCTTATGGGGTTGTAGAGATGGGTTCTATCGGACAGGGCTTGGGCAAGACTATTTGGATGGTGGGAGAGTTTTTTGTGAAAGTTGGTAAATTTTTGGGGAATAAATNGACGGTTTTCGGAGGGAGTGACATAGGAAGGGGAGATATAAGGAATTCGTCAATATCTGCTTCCATTGAAACATTGCCGGGCTCGGGATGAGGAGTGAAGGTTTCTTGGAGATGTCGAGCAAATGTATCGGCTTTTTCTTGGTTGGATTTGGCCCATGATCCATCTTCTCGACGGAGGGGAAAGGATGGGAAGTGGTGTTTTAGGATTCTTCTCGTTGCTGCCCAGAGTGATTTATTAGAGGTCGTAAGGTTGGATAGGTAGGAGTCAAAAGCTTTGCTCCGGTAGATTTGTAATTCTTTTTTAGCTAAACGGGATAATTTATTAAAGGAAAGGTGTGTCTGCCAATGTACCTGATTTAACCGATTTCTATATTAAATAATGTGTAAATACATCTTAAGACTTTGTCCATTAGTTGATTTGTTGTGTATGATATTCATTGTACTCGAATATTTATATTATTATGTTTCCATTTATTTATTGTTCTCATGTACCCGCTTCTAATGTTGTGTTTAATAACTTTCTTAAATAATATGATCAACTGTCCATAATTAATCAATTTGCTAAATTTCCATGTTCCATGGTGTAACACTAGACAAAAAATATTAATCTAATTATTTAAAATTTAGTCTGATTCCTTGACTCGTGGAAAAGAGTAATAAACTCCCTTTACATTGTGACACTTTTTATCTTTCCTTAAATCAATTTAAACGTTTTTTTTAAATATTCATGATGGCAATTGAGTTTGATTTTTTAAAATATATTTCTGTTGTTTTCATTAAATTTTATCATTCCTTGCCGCTTCCTTTATATTTGTATATATTTCTGATTTAATCAAATTTTTATAATTCATTCTCACTTGCTTTATTTGTTTATATATTTCTGTTGTTCAATTAAATTTTTATTATTCCTGTATATTTTTTTATATACCTATGTTGTTTAATTATATTTTAATCATTCCTTCTTACTTCCTTTATATTTGTTTATATATTTCTGTTATTTAATTATATTTTTATCATTCCTTCTCACTTCCATTATATTTGTTTATATATTTCTGAAGTTTAATCAAATTGTTATAATTCATTCTCACTTCCTTTATTTGTTTATATATTTCTATTGTTCAATTAAATTTTTATTATTCCTGCTCATTTCCTATATATTTTTTTATATACTTATGTTGTTTAATTATATTTTTATCATTCCTTCTCACTTCCTTTATATTTCTTCATATACTTCTGTTGTTTAATTAAATTTTTATCATTCCTTCTCACTTACTTTATATTTGTTTATCTATTTCTGATGTTTAATTAAATTTTTTATCATTCCTTCTTACTTCCTTTATATTTGTTTGTATATTTCTGTTGTTTAATTAATTTTTATCATTTGTTCCCATTGCCTTTATATTTGTTTATATATTTCTGCTGTTTAATTAAATTTTTATCATTTCTTATTTTCTCACTTCTTTTATGTTTTATACACATGGGCATGCTTACAATATTGTATTTGTGTTTGCTATGTTGAATATGCCCATATTTTCATTTATTGTTATATGTATATTATTGTTTATGTATAGTTTTAACTCTTGTAGAACTTGTAAGTGGGTGTATTTACTTTTATAAATAAATATCTTTATTGTTTTGTTTAATACCTGTGAATTTTTTTAAAAAATTTTCTCCTAAACTACGTAAAAACGGTTCAATAATGCCCTGGTGCCAACTGAATACAACTATGTAAATAAATATTGTAAATCAAAAATTATATGCAATAAAAATTCATAAATGCATCACACACGTTAATCTATGAAGGGGATATTTCAGTGGGGGATTGGTAGTGGGGCTCACTGAGTAGTAGAAAATTAATAACTCCCAGAGTCCCAGTATCAGTCAAGTGTCAACTCTGGTGTTTACAGTACCAAAATGTAATTTATACAGATTTTTTTCAAAGACAGAAGTCTTATGGATGCGATTTAATGTTGTACTTTATATTCGTAAACCATGGGGGCCAAGGGTTTTCCATCTCTTACCAATTACAAGAGGTTTTTTGTTGTTTTATTCGCCGTTTTGGTTGTATCTATCATAGCTATTTTAATCGGCCTGGTCAACGTTTTTACAAGAGGGTTTTACTCAATTGACTCCAGCTATGAGAGTCTTAATTTGAACGAACTGGACAGGATCCAGGAGGTGATGGTGCCATCGGACACTGTCGTGTCGAGTGGGCCGTTTCCTAAATGCAGCTACTATGACTGCTTCAACATTTACAAGTGCGGTCACAAAGGCTCATCCAACATCCTGGTCTATGTGTATCCACTGAAAAAGTACATAAATGAAAAAGGTGCACCGATCGGCAGCCAGATGTCGAAAGAGTTTTACACCCTGTTGGATACGATTGTTAAAAGTAGATATTACACGCCAAACCCAGAAGAAGCTTGTGTTTTTGTCGTCTCAATCGACACGCTTAATCAGAATAGGTTCAAAACAAAAGAGACTTCACAAGCTCTAGCCTTATTGCCGTAGTAAGTATTCATTAATTTACACATTGGATTGTACTACACTTGGTTTTTGACCGATTGATTCCTCAATGTTATATTGCTCATTTAATTAATTAGTGGATTGTATTTTAGCTGGCACAATGGGGACAACCACATCGTATTCAATATGATTTCTGGTGTGGCACCAGATTTTAACACTGTGGTAGATCTTGCCCTAGGTAACGCCATAGTCGCAGGTGCCGGATTTGACACGTGGACTTACAGAATTGGGTTTGACATCTCGATCCCAGTTTTCAGCCCATTATCAAACAATATAAAGCAGCACAACTACAAACGGTAATTCCTTTAAAATTTCTATCCAATGCGATACAATTTTAACTTTTGCTTACATAACATGCAGAAAATGGCTGGTAATTAGCTCTCAGCTTAATATACATCCAGAGTACACTGCAGAATTAATGGAGATAGCGGCAAATAATCCAAAACTTCTTGTTCTCGAAGCTTGTGATGGAGAAATTAACTCAACATTAAGATGCAGTGGAGATAAAAGGACATATCATTATCCTCATATATTACAAGTAACACATCAGATTTTTTTTTTTTTTACCCTATAAATAAACCAGGTTATGCCAATTTTTGAAACATTTATGATGTTCTTATGGAGGTTGGCACACCCTGCTCGTGGTGAAGTGTCGTTTCCATTGAATTCGAGATGCCAACTGCACCCATAGGCTTCTTTTTTTTATTTTCCTGTTGAGGTGTGGTTAACTTGTTAAGGCAGATAATTTTTGAGAGATTTTGTAGAAATGAGAGCTTCATGCCACCAAACAACTCACTGATGATGCCTCCATGGCTTCATTCACAGTGAACATGTTAAATAATATATTCTAACAAAAAATATCTTAAATTATAAATTTTCATTTAGTTAGAAATACTTTTTTTAACTGTAGAAAACATTGGATATTATTAATAATTTTTTTAGAGGGGAGAATTTTGCTTGGTTATGAGGGGCGCAAGGCTAAGCCAACCATCACTGATTGATGCCATGGCTGCTGGGTGTATTCCGATAGTCAGTGCTGACACGATCGTGATGCCATTCGCTGATGTTCTTGATTGGAGAAGGTGGTCTAAAGCACCTTCTTGATGGGTGAATTTTTTTTCTTCAACTTTTAATTCTTTTATCCAACAGAGCCGCCATAATGCTCGGAGAGGCAGACCTTGGTTCACTTATGACAGTGGCAGAAGCTGTACCTTTAGAAAAAAGGCTTGAAATGAGTGAACAATGTAAGTGGCTTTATTCCAAGTATTTTTCATCCATGGAGACTATAACTATGACGACTCTGGACATTCTGAACGATAGGGTTTATCCACAAAATGCTAAAGTTTATGAAGACTGGAATAATCAACCGTTGAAGGTAATGGTCTACTTCTAAATAATCATGCAGATTTAGAATTGTATAAAAAAATCTTCTTTTAGATTTTATAATTTAAAAACTTAAGATCTTTTAGAAGTTTAATTAATTATTATGTAAGATTTGTACATTTGCTGGCTGTTTAACATTTCTGATCGCTATAGTTTGCTATAAAATTGCTCACTTTTTCTTTAGATGTGCCATCTTCAGTGAAACATGCAGCACATTGTAGATTGATCAGACCAGGATGATCAGCGGTGATATAACTACTAACAAATTTTCAAAATTTTGCACACCAGATAACGAAACCTATATAAATTCTTGTTTTAATATCACGCTTTTATAAATAATGAAGTTTTTTAAAACATGACTTCAATACAGGGATAATCAAACAACAAAACATTAGTTTTCCCATGGATCTTATAAAATTTAAAATTTAATTGCAAATTATTTTTAAATGTGTTATAACAGTTCTTATATAATAATATGATATTAATTTTTAGACGCCAATGAAATCACCGTTGTTCTTAGAAGTGACATCACCAAAATGGCAAGGGTTCACTGCTGTTGTGCTTACTTACGATCGTGTTGATAGTCTGTTTGGACTTATTCAGAAATTGGTTAAAGTCAATAGCCTTTCAAAAGTGTTAGTTATCTGGAACAACCAGAGAAAATCGCCCCCTCATTGTTAGTACATGCTCAAAAAAATTATAAAACGTTTGTCCTAATACTTATTGTTTTACAGTCTCACTCTGGCCCAAAGTGTCAAAGCCGTTAAAAGTAATTCAGACCAAAGCGAATAAATTATCAAATCGGTTTTACCCTTATGAAGAAATCGAAACCGAGGCAATACTTACAATAGACGATGATATTGTTATGTTAACAGCAGATGAATTGGAATTTGGATACGAAGTATTGTTTTTGTTTATTCTAATTTGACTATAGAATTGATTAAAAGTTTAATTTCATAGGTTTGGAGAGAATTTCCAGATAGGATAGTTGGTTTTCCTTCCAGAGTGCATGTCTGGGATAATGTGACTAACAGATGGAAGTACGAGTCAGAATGGACTAATCAAATATCAATGGTTCTTACTGGTGCCGCTTTTCACCATAAGGTACCATAATTATACTTTAATCATCATTTCTATATTAATATTCTGTTCATTTTAAGTATTGGAGCTACATGTATACGACTTCAATGCCTGGCAACATTAAAGAGTGGGTCGACGAGCACATGAATTGTGAAGACATCGCAATGAATTTTCTCGTTGCAAATGTTACAAATAAAGCCCCGATCAAGGTAAGAATTGACACTTTTAAAAAATTCTATAAAATAATTAATTTTTTATTTTAAAGGTCACCCCTAGGAAAAAATTTAAATGCCCAGAGTGTGTGAATAACGAAATGCTCAGCGCCGATTTGAACCATATGATCGAGAGATCAAACTGTATAGACAGGTTTGCTACCATTTACGGCAGAATGCCTCTGAGATCTGTCGAGTTTCGAGCCGATCCTGTTCTCTACAGAGATACATTCCCTGAAAAGCTCAAGTGGTTCAACAACATCGGAAGTCTTTAATTTATTACGCTCATGCGTTTGAAAAGCATGCTAGCTTTGAGAATTAATCTGTTAGTCATTATTTGTGATAATTATTACAAAAAAATGTACAATATATGAACTTTTAAAACCAAATTTGTTTATTGATTGTAATATATTATTGATAGACTGTATTATATTTAAGATGTACTTATTACATTGTTTTAAAAAATAATTATTTGTTAGCTCTTATTACGTAATGTAATATATAAATTATTAAGAAATATTGCCAAATGTTTTGATGTACAAGGATATTTTATAATAAAAATAGTTCAAATAACATAATTTTGTTTTACTTTGCATTACCTAATGACAAATGTTCTTAGGATGTAAAAAAAACTATATATTCGGAAGTGACAATTATGGCATTAAGAGGACATTTTGCGGTTAACCTTGGCCTGAATAGCTATAAGATCTATAGAGATAAGAGGATCCTCTCCTCTATGAAGACATCTGAAAACTCCAAAGATTTGAATACTTAAAAAAATATTTCCTATTTTAATTTGGCAGTATTAGAATTATTGCTACCAAGATACTGGAGGTTAAGAAGACGAGGCTCAGGTTGCCATCATGTCACATCTCAGAGATGATTGTTTGGCTTCAAACGGGCTCCGTAATCGATATTATACTGCTGTTGAGAACAAGCAACAATCTGAGTAAGTTAGAAATGTGAATGTCAATGTAAGGCAAAGACTTTCAAAAGTTGGATTACGTGTGAAACTTATTTCTGACAAGGCACAGAACAGCTCAGTTCATTTTTGCAAGAAATCAAATCAATTGGACTGAGCTAGATGGAACTAAAATCTTGTTTTTGGATGAGTCAAGTTTTTTTGTATGAGGTCTGATGGCCGAGATAGGGTTTGGAGAAGAAGTACCCTTGTGAGAGCAGTAGTGACGTGTAATCAAAACGCTTGGCATAATCAAATTTCCCTCCCATGAACCGGGCTTTATCAATGATGGGAAGGCAATAGTTAGTATAAGTAGTGTAATGAGAGTTGTCGGAATTTTTGGGTAGCGTTTAATTAACTTTTTCTATATTCACAGAGTAATTGAGTCAATCTGATTTAATGAGAACCATAAAACACCTTCTCACAGCTGCTCTACCATACAAGCAAGAGCATTCACGTGGAACTCTGCTTGTACAACAAAGTCGGAGTCATCAGTGTAGTTGGTAATAAGGCAGTTAGCATTTCTAAGGAACATCGTTTACAAATATTATAAACAAGAGTGGGCCAAGTAGCCTGCCTTGAGGAACACCCACGGTACTAATAGTTGGAGACAACAGTGTTTCTGGAAGTTCTACCATTCCTGGAGATATACAGAGATCCAAACTAGGACAAAGCTAACCATTTGGCTACTGTGATAACTTTTCTATTCTACAAATTGTTGTATACTTTTGTGGAGTAATGAACCTGCAATTTGAGCTTTTCCAATCATTTTAGCCTATTCCCGCATGTTTTCATTCTGTCATAAATGCTTCAGCTTCTTGCGATTATCAGTACTGTGCTTTTTTAAATTCATTAAGAAATTATTGAACAGTTTGTCTTTTAATTGTACTTCTGCACCTTTGCAAAATTTTAAAAAACAATCTTCTTCAAAAGGGTATTACTTCAGTGTTTATAGATAAGGTTAAACAGGGTTTTTTAGTCTTATTTCATAAATAAGCTTCATAGAATGAATATTCTTTTTTTGGTTGAACACATTTGTTAGATCGAAAATATATAAATATTTTCAATGGGTTAAGGTGTTTTAATCCATTAACAGCAAATAGACACAATGGTTTTTCACGTGCCTAATAAATCTATTGTTTTCCAAATTGTTATGCACTCTTGCACTTTATTATTATGCTGAGCTTGTGATTTTATATGTCTTTTCCATCTCTGGAACCATTGTCTTTAACGTTACAATAGTGGCAGTTCAATGTTGATAAATAGATTGTATATAAGGTGAACAAGTTTATAAATCTCTTGATATATCATGTTACTTAAACAAACTAGGTACAATCAAACTATTTTTATATATGCGTTATATCTGTGTACAATAAGTTTTATAAAACATTTTTTTTATTTTTTATTGAATATATCTGGTGGTATATTAATATATATATATTTGACGTACAAATTTAAAATATATATATAATTTAATTTGTATGTCAAATATTATTTAGGTACATATTTAAAATAGCGAGGTAAATCAGCATCTATTATATTTTATTGGAGTCATGAGGAGCGGTCAAGAATGAGTTAGTTTAGTAAAACACCTTTTTAATTTTTTTCAGATTTTTCGACCTTTATTCGTGTCATCTTCAAGCCATAAAGTGTGGTGCTATTCTTGGGTGTCATATTGGTTTTGTGTATCTATACACCGCAAGAATAGCACCACACTTTATGCCCTGAAGATGATCCGAATAAAGGTCGAAACGTCGGCAAAAAAGTGAAAAATTGTTTTTCTAAACTACATCATTCTTAACCGCTCCTCACGACTCATTTACATATTTTTCTCAAAGTTTAATTTTACTTTTTTTAATTATAAATTTCTTAAATCAATTTAGTTCCCGCCCTTTGCTGAAATTGTGTAACACTGTTGTATTTAAATTTAAATTGTGTTTTGTTTAATTTAGTTGGTCCTTAAATTCAGAAAATTTGTCCGATTTAAGCAAGTGTTCGTCAACTCTCGTTTTAATTTCTCTGCTGCTTTGTCTTAAATAATATTGCAATCGGTACAATTAACTTGGTAAACCTCCCGGTAAACCTTTTTGACAAATTGTCAACTGTCTTTAGGTTTCGAGAGGATGTTTCTAGGTAGCTCCAGACATGTGGAATTCGCCGAATGCCGAACATGCTCGTCTTGGCATTCACCAAATAGTATGCGTATGCATGGACATATATGCGGGGTTCGTTCAACCAGCCAGTTTGTGCAAATCGTCAACGTACTACCGATTATGATGGACAACAGTGAAACTATCTTTGATGCAGCAGCGGTTGTTTTTTGTAGTGGCTACAAACTCAGTTACCTGCCCACCTCGTCCCGATTTTTGTAATTCGGAAGAGAAGCGTTCCAAATTGGTACAGAACGGACAACTCCAAGACTCATATTGAACCGGCACGGGGTCACTTGCTGGGTCTGTCTCCACTCGCGGGTGGAAACTACACAACACTATTGCTAACTTTTGGTTTAAAAAACAACGCCTCACTATGCCGAACAATTTAACCCCGACTCAGACCACCAGACCCAGTAAGTGACCCTGTACCGATCAACATGAATTCGCCGACTCGCAGACCAAAACCCATCAACAACTTCAAGATTTATCACCAGGCACCCTGTATGTATAATATATAAAATGAAAATAAACTCTGAATCATGAATGTATCAACGCTTGAAGTTCCGATCCCTTGACACGAAGGAATATTATATTAAACAGATTCCTTCACTAAACAAGAATAAAACTTACCTAACTTGAAATGTGCCATTTTTCCTGATGAATTCATACGCCGATACTATAAAACTGGACACACGACATACCACTTTTCGCGAATGATGACAGTTCGTTCCCGCCAATTCATGCCTATCAGCTGAGTACACTTACAGTGATGTCATTTGTCCTGTAGCATCCGAGTACTTCAAAAAATTAAACGGTTTTTATATGTTTGGTCTCGTACTTCATGTTTTTAATTGTCTTTTTTTTTCCAAGGTATTTTTTTTTATCAATGATAAATTTAACTTTTGACCACTTATCACAATTGAATTTATCCCAATCTACTGGAGACAGTAATGAGACAAGCCCTAATGTGAACAAGATGTTTTGTGCCTCTTTGACTATAATTTATGTTCAACCTGGTGATGAGCTTTAAGCTTAAAATCCGGATAATTGTAAACAACGAATTTGAGAGTAGAACAAAAAGGAATATTTATCAATTTCAATATGAATTCTTCATTTCAATTTCTAAATCGTACTCGTCGGTTAAAAACCCCTTGGCTACCTAGTTCCTACTACAATACGAGTATCATAAATTTTCCATTGACTTCACATGGTTTACTACCATAACCCACAGGCCTAAGTCGCCACAATCTTATACAACTGTAGTTTTAGTTCGTTGTACAACCTACCTTAAAGTTTTATGTTGTAGTCAGGATGTCACATGATGAACCCCTTGAGTACATCGTTATACTTCGTGCTCCAAGTGGTAGATGACTTCATTTTAAGAGTCCCACCCTTAAAATATAATTTTAAATGGCAGTATCTGAACATTTTGCACCCTGAATCATCTACAGCTAGTTTCCAATAGACCTGCGTCAAATTCTGTGTCCTCATTTCGACACTTCCGCCTTAGAGCTCTAATATTAAACTGACGAAATGTCACAAATGAGAGAAGGAAAACATAGCCTAAAAAAAGGATGTTATCATTTTTAACCTTTAATATTTACTGTTGTATGATGAATATTTTCACCCTACGACTCTTAATATTAAGATGACAGGGTCGTCCGCGACACACAGTGGGTAGGTGGACGTTCCTGTATGACCGGAATTACTTAAGATGACAGGGCCATCCCATGACGGCCCAAATGTAAAAAAGGGAAAATTAAAACATTCCTCCCCAAAAATATTAATTTGTTTCTCCGATACTAAAAATATAGTACCAGGTCGTCGTTTGTTTAACCCTCTACCGCAAAAACAAGTAGTAGGCGTTTTCAACCTTTGATATTTACTGTTGTCACAGTGACATGACGAACCATGCAGGGAAAAATGACACTTTTCTTGCCAAGTCTTCCTTTCAATTCTAAATAATCCGACGTCCGCCAACACTTATTTATACATATTCTTTGTCCATCATTGTCCAACTATACAATGGCCACATTTTAATATTTCACCGTTAAAATATAATTTTACACTCCTGTGCGTCGCGTCAAACGATGACCAAGTTTAATGAAAAAGATAAAAATTCAAAAATCCTGAAACACAACATTGCCTTCCAGCTATGAAGTTATCTAGAGATATAAAAAATATCATGTAATAATAAAATGTTCTAAGAATAAGATTCAGAATATTCTAATTTGCTAATTCTTCAGAAATCGTGAGATGCGGTCTGGTGTGATGTAGGTTTCAGAAACACATTTTCTTTGTCGTGCCAACATTTCGATCTTTATTGAGATCATCTTCAGGGCTCAAAGTGTTTACACTCTCAACACGACACACAAGAATTGCACAATTACATAGAAAACAAACACTTTGAGCCCTGAAGATGATCTCAATAAAGATCGAAACATTGGCACGATAAAGAAAATGTTTTTCTGAAACCTACATCACACCAGACCGCATCTCACGATTTCTGAATAATTATCTATTAACGGTCACTANTTACACAGAAAACAAACACTTTGAGCCCTGAAGATGATCTCAATAAAGATCTAAACATTGGCACGATAAAGAAAATGTTTTTCTGAAACCTACATCACACCAGACCGCATCTCACGATTTCTGAATAATTATCTATTAACGGTCACTAATCACCACACATTCTAATTTGCTATGCTTTAAAAAGATAAATCAACAAAATACTGTATTTTTGAATATTTTAACAAATAATCTGTAAGCAAAGTAGACCAGAAAATGGTCAAAATTTCGATTTGAATTTATTGTCTAATTCTAGCGTTATAAAACCCTTAGATATCAACTTTCGCGGAAATCGGTCTAAATTAATTTTTGGACTGATAATTTCGACGACCTGACTGACATTCGTAGTACAGGTTCTTAACATAATTAAAAAAAAAAAAAGCTAGTGGACTCTTATGGTTGATAATTCGTTTTAAAGAAATTTTGAAGGTGCATTTTATAACTGTATTAAACATTAAAATCGGTCTATTATTTCCATTTAATAAAACGAGGTTAATTTCTGACAAATAATTTTGCTATTTTCTTATAAAAATATTATATTTTTATGGTACATATGTCATTAAAAAACTACGTTCCTCTTCTGTCAGGTGGTATGTTGGACATTAAAACCTTTTTAGCCGTTTTTGAATTATAGTTGTTTCAGATATTCCGATAACGCCTGTCAAAATCGGGAAAATTTTAGGCGTCAAAAAATTGATAAATTTAAATTCAAATAAATTTGAAATAATATTTCGGGCTCTCTAGAGGTGCTAAAATGAAATTTCATATTAATTTCACTAAAAAAAACATGACAGTTTACTTGAAAAATACTTAGTTTTGAATTTTTTTGATTATTGATAAACTTTGGATAGCGTTTACTATATTTTTATTGCAATCTATATAAAAATTGCTGTAATATGACATATTGACATAGTTGATTTGGGAAAATAGAACGGCGAATAAAACTATTGAAAAACGAAAAATTTCAACATTCCAAAAATATTTTTTTGCGAAACCAGGGCCTATTCACAAGAAGTGGCGTATACGCATCCTTTATTTTGGAGGGTAGATTCACCAAAATAGTTTGGTCCAAATCCGCGACCCCACCGACCTGGTCGTGCCCTTGGGTAAAACTTAATGGCATTAAAACCAAAACAAACTCGATCTGACTTTTAAAATGAAAAAAAAAAAAAATAATAACAATCTCAAAAAGACTAATGGTTAAAATAAATTAAAAAGTTAATTAGGCCATTAAAAAATCTTCTAATATAATGAAATTTTTTTATTTAGTTTTATAGCATAGTACGCACAGTTATTGAAAACTTATTATTGAAAAACAAATGTTTGAGCAAGTAGAACAGCGAAATAAAAATATTAATAAACGGAAAATTTCATCTAAAAAAAAAATTGGCGAAACCATCCATAAACCAGGGCCTATGCACAAGAAGTGGCGTATACGCATTCGATATTTTGGGGTGATGTATCACCAAAAAAAGGTTGATACAAATCGGTGACTCCACCAACCTAGTCTCCCCTTGTCTGTAATGATGATGATTATGTGCGCGGGATATTTGAAAAATGGGCCACCGGCTCGTCGGAGTGTTCGGGGCTTAAATAAGTCCTTTTATCGTTTTCGGACCCGGGGTCGGAATCGGAAATGAAGTCGGTAGCCAAGAGGAGAAAGGGTGGATCTCCGTTTGCCATATTAGGCGGAGTTTACCTAATTTGGCAGCGTCCACTTCTAAATATGGGATCGAGAGGGGGGCGATCTCGGTTTCAGGCTGTATTCATACGCGTTGTCGACGCCTTCGTTGACAGCCGGCGAATCGTCAATTTTAAAATTTTGGGGGCGGCCCGTCTCGCTTTATTTCGACTTTCCGACCCGATCCGCCTTTTGGGAGACGTGGGAAAAGGTTTTCCGCCCTCGGGCCGGGACTACTTTCCCCCCACCGTCGCAGCGGCGAGCGAAGTGGTGTGGCGGCCAGGTCAAATTACGGAGAACAGTCCATGTCCCTGATGATGTCGGAACCGGGGGCAGAGCGTCATGTCCACGAGTATAGCACGTAGTGTCTCTCGACGGGAACTGTGATGATTAGAGTGTGATTTTTGTGTCGAGTGATGGATACCCCTTCAGGTGGGGGAAGAGATTCCCGTTTTAGCATGGGCTACAATATTTCCCTTTTGAGCGGCGAGACGACACCGGAAATATATTCGAACGCCGTACACAGCAGGCCGTCGACTTCGATCACGTCGGGCCTGTCCCGGTCGTCGATGTCGCTCACCGGCTCCTGCGCCTCGCAGAACATGCAGCGCGGCATGAAGAGGGCCTCGTCCGACGTCTGCTACGACCAGGACGGCAGGCAGATCGCCCTCTCCAACGACTGCGGATCGGACATCGTCGACGACGTCTTCTCGCCCGCCCCGCAGAAAGGCTCGCCGCCTTCCAACGGGAAAAAGACGAAAGGACGAGTCAAAATCAAAATGGAATACATCGACAACAAACTGAGGAGATACACAACTTTCTCCAAAAGGAAGACTGGGATCATGAAAAAGGTAACCACACAACCAATAACGTAACCTTCCCCTTGACAACCCTCAGCCTATCTGTTCTATTATTATTTATTCTCAACCGCCTCCCTCAAAATAACCATAACTAAAAAAACAAAACTATTAAAATACACCAGAATATATAAAAAAGAAAAAAAGTTCAAAAAACTTTAGACATTTAAACAAAATAAAACACCCCCTAACTAACCTAAATGATAACCCGTAATATTCAAAATTGAATAATTTTTGTACGAGACGAACGATGCTGGCCCTTCTGGTGTTTGTGCAACGCTCGTGTAATACTTTTTTTTAACGCCATCTGTTTGTTAATTATTCATTTTCTCGTGTTTTAGCGAGTCTAAATTGTTTTTTCCCCCCGGTGAAAATTCACAGTTTTCTTTGAAAATTCTATTTACCCGAAAGGTCTGACACATTTCGTCCGATGTGCTGTGTGCCCGTCGGTTTTAATTGTAATTTTTTTCCCTATTTCGTCTGGACTTTCTCCTTTTCTCCAAAGGGGAAGTATTGATAGATTCAATCCCGTGACTGTTGTTTAATTTCTTATCGGATTTTCCATGCTGTACACGAGGTCGATCAGAAATCAGATATAAGTCGTGTCTTAAGCACCTACTGTACTTTTTCAATGTTAGAAGTATCGATCACTTTTTTTCACTCACAAACACTCTGGATCAAGGCCTTGAAGAAGAAAGCAAATTCGGCTGTTACTGCCAAGTTTTTGACCTGTTTTAAGGTCATCACTGGCAGTAACAACTGAATTTGAGTATTTTGTCATTATTGTTATTATCTACAACACAGTTCTCATTTAGAAAAAAAAAGAAAAAACGTTTTATTTGAATGGAAATACCAAAAATAACAATCAAATAAATAAGATTGTTTTACTTCTGAAGAACTGCTTTGTAAATTTTGAAACGCGCACCATTTTTTTCTTTCACCTATTCTGGATAGTTGAAAATATTTTTATTGTATTTAAAAAAATAATTTTACAAATGGATATTACAACAAATTTCAAAATTTCTTTTGAAGGCTTGTACCTATTTGCGATTGAACCTCATTATACATCATTGTTTAGGTAAATTCAAAAAAAAAGTTTAGTCCCAGCAGATTTAAAAAAACAAAAAATCTGTTGGAGCTGAAAGCTTTTTGAATTACGTAACCGATAATATACAAATTTAAAAGACAAAGTTGTAAAAAATTGATAAATAAATGACAATGTTTTATAAACCGATTGAAATTTTTGCTCCAAGAAAGCCAATAATATTGATCTTTACTGACTACAAAAGAAAAAACAAAATTACTCTTTCGCAAAGCATTTGATTGATAATGAAAAACAAATATTAAAAAAAAAACAACAACTAAAAAACAATAAATTCAAATTAACCATTGTTAGCTTTTTTCGTCTCTTAAAGTGCTGGGAGATTTTGTTGCACGTTTTTTTACCTTATACAGCAAATGGCTGTTGAAGATTATTTTAAAAAACGATTATGTGCAAAGTTAAACTTAAGTATAGTTTCAACAAAACTCGTAATTTTTGTTGGCCTTTATTTGTTCATAGGATGCCAGTCAATCAATCGTGATCTTTACTTTTAAGAATTTAATTTTAACCAAAGAAAAACAGTTTGCCAAGCGACCGGTTTTTTTGCTTGGTTTTGAAAAGAGAATATTGCGAATTTTTTCAATTTTATTTAAAAATGAAGTCATCTCAATCACTCTGGGTCAAGGTATGGTCTTGAAGAAAAAAAAGCAAATTCAGTTGTTACTGCCAAGCTTTCGACCTATTTTAAGGTCATCAGGGTAAAACAATCTTAAATATGTACACAGACTTTTTTGAGCGGCTCAGTCCTGACTTTTAGATCGCCTGTAAAAAACTGATTAAATATATCAATCTGTACCTATTTAAGACTGACTTGCCCTGATGACCTTGAAATAGGTCGAAAGCTTGGAAGTAACAACTGAATTTGATTTTTTCTTCTAGACCGTACCTTGATTCGGAGTGTTCATGAGTGAAAACGTGGTCATTGACAATAATAAGAGTCAACAAGATAACAATTGCGCAAACAAAATTGAAAAACATCACCGTTGAGTTGGAAAAAAAGAATTTTTGAGGGATTTTTAGAATTTTTGGTATGTTTTTGGTATTGCAGTAAATGTATGACGAGAATAATATTTTCAAAAGCTAACTGGAAATCAAAGTAAGAATTTGTTTTCTTTTTATTGATTGATTTTATTATTTACAAATATATATTGCAGTAGAAATACATAAGTTGTATAAAGGCAGGGAAGTGGCGGGGCACTATTTCAACCTGTAACAAAATTTGCTAACTTTTAGAACACCAAGACAAAACATTCATAATATTTATTTGCAAGTGTATAGTTAGGAAAAATTAAACTACAAACCATAAACAAACAGTAATAAAGAAATTTTGAGTTATTTAATCTTAGAATTCTAGCTGTCAGGTATGCGCTTAATTAATGATAAATAAATTAATTAAGTTAAGAACTTACGAGCAAAACTAGGCATTTACACAATAACAAACTATAGGTATAAATATTAACTTCCACAATAATAAACTCAGTAAGAACTTATTACAAAATAAATAATATGTATTATAAAGAAATTGGTAAGTAAGTCAATAAATAAGTTAATAAAAGTTAAAAATAAGTTACTGAAAGTTACAAATAAGTCAATAAAAGTTATAAATAAGTCATTAAAAGTTTATTAAATTATTTCCTTTTTGTAGGCCTTATTATATCGAAGTGTATTTAAAGAAAATTCCCGATTGTAGGACGTTTCGTCGATTCTGTGCCTTTTTCAACTACAATAACTTATTTTTTATTCTTAACATTACAGAAACCTGTGTGTGGTTATTAGTGACCGTTAGTGGAAGATTATTCAAAAATCGTGAGATGCGGTCTGGTGTGATGTAGGTCTCAGAAAAACATTTTCTTTATCGTGCCAACGTTTCGATCTTTATTGAGATCATCTTCAGGGCTCAAAGTGTTTGTCTTCTGTGTAATTGTGCCATTCTTGCGTGTCGTGTTGAGAGTGTAAACATTTTGAGCCCTGAAGATGATCTCGATAAAGATCGAAACGTTGGCACGACAAAGAAATTGTTTTTCTGAAACCTACATAACACCAGACCGCATCTTACGATTTTTGAATAATCTAATTACAGAAACCTTTTAACAATAAGAAATAAACTATTTGCCGTTGAAAATGGCAGAAAATAAAAAAGGAAAATAGTCAATGAATTTAGGTAAAAACGATTTTTTTGGTCCGTTTGTAATACCAGGTAATAATTTTTATACATAAAAAAATCTACACTTTATTTTCAAGCGGTAAATTTTTGTTAAACAATAGATATTTTTTCCAATAAAAAACATAAACTTCATTGTCATTTTAAACTAAGCTGGTTAATCAAAGTAGTTTCCACGTTTTCAAAAGGAAACTTACAAACGATGGAGATGAATCGAACGAATAAATAAAAAATTGGGAAAATATATGCTATATTGCAAATAATACGTTGAAAAAGTGTGGTGGAAAACAACGGGAATCTTTAATGATCAACTTTGTGAAATACAATTAGTAGGTAAATAATAGTGACAGACAATTGTACTATAAAAGAAATAAAGTATTCGACTTATTGTATTAAAAAAGGGATATTCTGGGACAAAGAATAGTATGAAAGGAAAAACCGAATTGTGAAAGAAAAAAAATTGCGACAAGCGAGTGATACTAATCTTAGTATGGTTCGTTTTTTCTTTTTTTTTGCAAGGGTTGAAAAATTTCTGGTAATAGTTTACAAATATTAAACGCTATAAAAATGGTGAAACGAAAAAACTGTCGTTGAAAGAAATAGAACGTGTTTCTACCTTTTTGGTATGCTCAGTTTGGCATAATGCTGTAAATTTTATTCAAAATATTGTAAAATAGAAACGAAAAAATCTTTAAAAAAGATCAATTATTTTTTAACATCCCATGATGGTTACTTGTATTTTGTTATACCAATTTAACCATGTCCTTGATTATGGAAATGGTAATAATACATAACTTACAGTTTTCTAGATGATAAAGTCCATGATTTTTTTACGCTCTTAAAATTAGTTTTAATTAATAATAATTATTTAAAAAAATGGGAACCCTCTTTAAAGGTACAGTTTGACATGCAAACAATTAATTGATACCTGTTCAGGATACTTAAAATAAATAATTGAATAAGCAAATCCCAAGGGTAAGAATATTTCCCTCATTGCCAAGATTAAAAAAAAAAAAAAAACTGTCGGTTGATAGTTATCTATAATCTTGGTCTCCCTATCCTCGCAGATTTTTGTCGCGCAAACTTGTTTCAGCATTTCGCCATCTTCGGTTTGAGAAAAATCAACATTAATGTTAAAATAACAATTACTTTTTTATCACTATATAGTAATTGCGGTTGAACAATTTGTGATCACTCGATTTAATACATCGCAAAAATCCAGTATTGCGCTTTTTTTAAAGTTTGAAACGTCTTTATTTTAAACAAGGACAAAGAAAAAACATTTCTGGCTTCTTTCTTTACATTTTTCTTTTAGACTTTTAAAAATAATAATTAAAGCATTGACAAGTGACTCAATTGCCTGTAAATAGTTGTATAATAATGAGAAGTGAATCTATTAAAATTTGGGCAAAAAATTGTTTTTTTGTTCCTTGCCTTTAATTTTTATTTTATCTTTTGGCCATAAATCATTCGTGATTTTGAGAAATATATTTTTATCTGTTCTAACAACGAACGATTTGTTTATATAATTATCTTGTTGGGGAATCGTGAGATATTTTAACAATAAAAATTGTTTATAGCGGAAAATATCAATGCTGCCAAAACGAAGGCATAGAATTCTAGATTATTTTAATTCCTGCTATTTAACCGGGAAAAAATATGAATCTCATCAAATCCGCTCGTTTTTGAAAAATTGTGCCGGAAGATTGTTACAAAAAAAAAGTTTAACCT